GCGCCCCAATGTTCATAGCAGCACTATTTAATAGCCAAGACATGGAAACAACCTGAATGTCCATAGACAGATGACTGCATAAAGAAGTTGTGGTACATTTATACAATGGAATACTACTCAGTGATAAAAATAATAATACCATTTGTGGCAACATGAATGGACCTAGAGTTTGTCATTCTAAATGAAGAAAGTCAGAAAGAGAAAGAAAAATACCGTATGATATCACTTATATGTGGAATATTAAAAAAAAAAAGACAAACGAATTTACTTACAAAACAGAAACGGACTCACAAACAGAAAACAAATTTGTGGTTGCTGCGGGAGAACAGGGTGGGAAGAGATAAATTGGGAGTTTGAGATTTGCAGATATCGTCTACTATATATAAAATAGATAAACAAGAATTTTATACTGTCTAGCACAGGGAACTATATTCAATATCTTGTAGTGACTTACAGTGAAAAAGAATATGAAAAAGAATAGATGTATGTTCATGTATGACTGAAGCATTATGTTGTACACCAGAAATTGACACAACATTGTAAACTGACTATACTTCAATAAATATATATATATAAAAAATTAATAAATAATAGCTTTCAATAGGTTCTATCAGTTTCCTGAAGAAAAATATAGTCAGCCTAAATCCTTTTTCTAGTAGGAAATAACTTCAGATGCCAAAAGTGGTACACACCTTTTTCAAGTAGGTAAGCATCTTTCAGCATCTGGAAGAGGCAGAATTGAATATACAGATGTTTACAGCCCTGATCAATCTTGGCACCAGGTACCATATCTTAGTATGGAGATTTGGGGGCAGATAATTCTTTGTTGTGAGGGGCTGTCCTGTGCACTGTAGGATGTTTAGCTGCATCCTTCTACCCACCAGATGCCAGGAGCACCACCTCCCCAAACTGTAACAGCTGAAATGTCTCCAGATATTTCAAATGTCTTCTGGAATTTAAAACTCCCCTGGCTGAGAGTTTTGGGTGAATCAGACTCATTGAGCAAATATTGTTAAATCAAGGAGGAAATTACACCTGTTTAGTTTTTTCACATACTTACACAAATATGTGAAAGAATTTGCTTGTTAGAGTAATAAACTTTAAATCCAACTGGAGAATGTCATTCTAAGTGAAGTAAGCCAGAAAGAGAAAGAAAAATACCATACGAGATCACTCATAGGCAGAATCTAAAATAAAAAAAAACACAAACAAACAAACAAACAAGCAAAGCATAAATACAAAACAGAAACAGACTCATAGACATAGAATACAAACTTGTGGTTGCCAAGAGGGCGGCGGGGTGGGAAGGGATAGACTGGGATTTCAAAATGTAGAATAGATAAACAAGATTATACTGTATAGCACAGGGAAATATATACAAGATCTTGTGGTAGCTCACAGAGAAAAAAATGTGATGATGAATATATATATGTTCATGTATAACTGAAAAATTGTGCTCTACACTGGAATTTGACACAACATTGTAAAATGATTATAAATCAATAAAAATGTTAAAAAAGTTTAAAAATTAAATAAAAGTAAAACTGAAAAAATAAAATAAAGATGTGGACACAGACTGTCACCTGCCATTTCAGAAAACAAAGAATGTTGCTTGTCATTTAAAGCCATCATCCACTGCATCCAAGCCCCCCAGCCGCAGCCATAGTGCATCCTAGAGGGGCCTCAGGACACTGGCCCTAGAGAGTTAACATGCACATCAAAGGAATACTTTCAATAATCCCAAACCCTTGCATCTTCCTATACACAGAAAAGCCCTAAAATCATTAACTTGAGATGTCTTTGTAATTAGCAGTAATCTTTCGAAGATCAACTATGTTTTTTCCCTCCCAGCAAAAACTCCTGTACATACTGGCTTCTCCTTTACACTCTATCAAAGAGGCTGTTTCCATAATTGATGCTATAGCCCTCAATTATGCCTCAAGTAAGACAGAATTATCAGCTTTTAAGTTGTGCATTTTTTTTCAGCTGACCTAGGTATAGCTTAAAGTGTTTAATTCATTTTATTTATAATATAAATGGGAACAAACATGATTTAAAGTCACTTTAAAGATTTTTTTTTAATTGCAGGCTTTAAATGATTTATACATAAAACAGTAGAATTCACCAGCTGAATTTAAAGCATGGATGTAATCCACTGTTTTTCACCATCCAGTCTCAGTTATGTCCTAGAGCAGAAGTCATTACCCTGCATCGCCCACAGAAGACGAAATGAAGTCCTCAGAGAGTCCTTGAAGACCGCACGGGTGTGTGGAATCAGTAACCTCAGGATTTGTGCTGGGATAATATCGGTGGCCAGAAAACTCCTCCTCTCCACTGCTCCCCCGGTGTACCACCCTCACAGGTCCCCTGCAGGAGGCGTAAACAAGACCATCCCAGGAAGCATATTAAGAGCCTAATGGATCATAAATCGGCATAAATGTAGAGATCGTATTTCCACAGAGGAGGAATTTTATGAGAGAGTCAGTCACCTGATCATAAAACACTACCACGTGTCAGAGGATAGTCAAAGAAACAGCTTTTTCAACGAACTGCATGCATAGCAAACGCTTCACACTTTATTCTCCTTCAAATGCCTAAATAATAGGTGCCCCTTTCAAATAGGGTTTCGTTTTTTTTTTTTTTACTTCTGTTTTTATTTGGATCTCTCAGTTTATTCAACAGAACATTTACTGGCTGGTTATTACAGATATATTCTACTGGATGCTGTTGATAATATAAAGATGATGCCATCAAAATTTTTTTCTTTTCACTGATTCACAATATTGCATTAGTTTCAGATGTACAGCATAGAGATTCAGATTTTTTGGCAGATTGCATTTCATTTTAGGCTATTACAGGATACTGAATATAATTCCCCGTGTTATACAGTAAAGCCTTTTTGCTTATCTATTTTACGTATAGTCGTTTGTATCTGTTAACCCCATACTCCTACTTTGTCCCTCCCTTCTTCCTTCTCCCCTTTGGGAACTGTTAAGTTTACCTTCTCTGTCTGTGAGTCCGTTTCTGTTTTCTGTATAGATTCATTTGTATTGTTTTTAGATTCCACATACAAGTGATATCAAACAGTATTTGTCCTTCTCTGTCTGACTTACTTCACTAAGCACAATGCTCTCCAGGTCCATCCACGCAGCTGTGTCCGCTGACTTCTGTGGACAAAGTCCACACCCCTTCACCTCTTGTGTTCGACAGGGCCACCTTTTGGTTTCAGGAATGTCGTGAGATCTTGGCTCTCATGCCGATGTCACAAGATTGTTTTCTTTTACCCAAGCCTTTTATCCTTCTCCCTGTTTCAGTGCCACAAAACCTCTTTTCCTTTGCTGACTCCAGGGAATTCTTGGAGAAGAGTCTCAGCTCGTACTCATGTAGAAATGAAAGTGGTATGAGCTACAGATTCTCATCTATAGTTCCAGGGGATAAAATATTTCCTACACCAATGGTTTTTGAGGCATGGACTCTGGACCTCCAGCAGCAGGATCACCTGGAAACTTGTTAAAAATGTAAATTCTGGAACTCTACCCAAGATCTACTAAACCAGAAAATCTGGGGGTGAGGCCCTGCAATCTGTTTTAACTAGGTGATTTTTTTTAATTTATTGAAGTGTAATTGATTTACAATGTTAGTTTCATGTTAATTTCAGGTTGCAGAAAAGTGATTCAGTTAACGCATATGTACATATATATATATTTATATATATATATTTTTCTTTTCAGATTCTTTTCCATTCTATTTAACTAAGTGATCCTGATGCATGCTCAACTTTGAGAACTACTTATTATCTAAATTCCAGCCAGAGGTGACTTAGCCTCTAGGGGACATTTACTAATATCTGGAGGCATTTTTTGGGCATAATTGGCATGAAGGATGTTATTGACATCTGATGGCTAGAGGCCAGGGGTCCTGCTAAACATCCTACAAATGCACAGGACAGCCTTATAGCAAGAATTGTCCAGTCTAAAATGTCCTTTCTGTCAAAGTCAAGAAATCTGCTCCACACTAAGCCTCCACTCTCTTGACTGGCCAAGGAATTAAACCTTAGTCCTCTGTGTGTCTGTGTGTGCCTTCATCCTCAATTCTGCAGCTTAATTTCAGGTTTAGGTGGACCAGAGGGAACAGGTTCTTAATCCAGGTGATCACCTTCATTCCAGTGCTCTGTTCACTGCCGAGTACTGGTATTTAATGCTGTTTCTCCCGAAAGGTTGGGGCAAGAAACTCTCCCACCTAACCTGTCCCAACCAGGAAGATTATCCCTCCACACCATCCCAGACTCTCCCATGAGACAGTGGCCTGAACTGCATAAATTCTAGCATCCTAAAGTAATGTGCCAAGGTCAAGCAGAAAAGTAGGTATCCATGGTGTACCACCCTCCCCTTCAACTTCCATTTCTTCTCAATGAATACTCACCTTCCTGTGTCTGTCTGGGTACCCCTACTTTCCTCTTTCCATGAACTCGCTGTGGGGGCCAGCTGGCATCTTTCAAAGTCCAGCAACCCCCACTCCTGGGCTCCCAGATGCCTGCTTGCAATTCCTCAGAAGGTAACATGTATCCTTTTCTGACATGTGTTTGCCCTAACAGAACTAATAGCCCTAAGTAATGTCTAATCTCACAGTAGCTCAGGCTGGTTTGTTTCAACCTGTTTCCTTCTTATCAGAGTCATAAATCCCATTGCCTCTTCATAGACCCTAACTTTTTTGCCTTACCTACAGCCAATCAGAAACTTGTGCAAGAGCTGATCCTGCAGCCCCCTCTGTTCATCAACCCCTTCCCACAAAAGACCCTAAGCTTTCACCCTTGGTGCACACACAGGCACCTCTTGTCTGTGTGACCCACTGCTGTCCATGGCAGCCTACCCCTAATAAACTTTTTCTTTCACTTTGTTTTGTCTCTGGTAAATTCTTTTACCACCTGTGGCACTGGCCTGCTTTGTCCCACGACACTCACTCCATCCTCTTTCCATCATGAACCACTTAGGTTCAACTTGTGCAATCAAATACAAAATCTCTTTATTGTTTGAGGGTTTTGGGTAAGTTTAGGAAGCTCAGCTCTTAGGCACAATGTTGAGTCATTTTCCCTGGAGTGGAGGCGGAGAGAGGACAGGCTAACATAGGTTAGTTTTTTTCTTAATAACTCTTCCTGCTATATCATGTGTATTTTGTTTAACACAATATCTCATATTTTTTTGTATATAATATATTTAATATGCTTCTAAAGCAGCAGAGGAGAGGATAATCTCTATAGAGCTAACAAGTGGAGTCCACCTGCTCTTCACTAAGGAAAAGGCCAGAGAAAGAGAGGAATAAGTCATAATGTCCAGAAAATAATACCCCCCCCCAGAAAAATCAGCAAGGCCCCATCATCCTGTGCACTAAGTGTTCTAGGAGGAGGCACCTGGGGCCACATGTAGCTGGTGAAGAAGCATGGCAGAGATCCCAGAAGCGTGGGGGACTCAACCATGTGAAATCACTGCAGGAGAGCTGCTGCTGCTTATACTGAGATACTGGGGGAAGCCCACCGTCAGTCTGAGTGCAGGGGTAGCAGTGGTCCTGTTGACCAGTCACATGGCTTCCCCAGAGCCCAAACAGCAGCCACTCCTTTACTGATGATTACGATTACAATTTATTCTTTCCCTCTGTCCACCCATCTGCTCCTCCAGCCACGCCCTCATGCCCATCCCACACTGTCTTGGGTTCAGGGTGGCTTCACAGAGGCACACAGTTCCACTGGTTCCAGTCACAGGGCATGAGGATGTGATTCAGACTGTGACTCATCTTCTGCATAATTTTGTTCTTCCTGTCTACGTGAGAATACACAGGGAAGCCGAATTTGAGCAGAGCCTGGGTGTGGGTATAGATGAGGTAGGTAACGAGGCCCTGGGCCCGGTATTCAAGCGTGGTGCCTGCCATCCGCAGCTCTCCTGTATGGTCCATGAGGGACCAAGATACAGGGGTCCCCTCAGGCCCCAGCAGGCAGAAGTTGGGGAAGGTCCGGATACAGCGCTCAATGAATCTTTGGCTCCTCTCATTGCCACCAAAAGACCAGAATTTATTCACCAAGGCAGCGTAGATAGGATCCATGGATGAGAGTTTCAATGTCTCTTGGTCACTGTGGAGATTCCAGGAGAAAAGCAAAGTCCATGAGTTTTGAGGTTTATATTTATTCTTACTTCTATTATCTTGAGAGACAGAGTAGGCAGAGGAAACAGCACATGCAAAGTCCTGGAGTATGGGTGAGCTTGCAATGACAGAGGAACAGAAAGAAGGCCAATGTCATTGGAATGGGCAAGCTGGAAGGACAAGACAGGTCAAGGGAAACTGACCCAGGCCTGGTATCTTCCAGATGAGAAAGGAAATGGTGGAGTGTTTTAAACAAGGGAGAAAGACGTTTTGAATTACATTTTTTAAAAAAAAAGATTATTCTGGCTGCTTTGAAGAAGATTGATTGTGTGGAGCCAGAATGACAGCAGGGAGAGAAGCTGGGAGGTCTTTTGGGTAGTGAGGGGTCTGAGCCCTCCAGGGTAGCTTTTATCAAACTCACATGGCCTTGGGCTTGCCATCGCTCAGTGACAAGTTCTTCACATCCAGCAGGGAAGGAGCCAGTTCCTTTGTTGTCTCACTTGTCATATAGAGAAGGTTTTGTGTTACCTTGACTTTGAAGGATTTTGTGGCTGCAAGATTTTGTATTACTTCATTCAGGCTGTTCTGTGAACCTGGATGTTATAAGAAGAAATGCAATGATTTAAGTCTATTCTAGGAAGAAATTCTCCAGCGGAACAGGAAGTATGTGAGGATTTTGAGAATTTTGGTCATGAGCTTGGTGCTGCTGCTGTGTGACTGGGGTCATATAGTCAGGAGTTGTGCAATTTTTTATGTTTTACATAAGTGAAAATGTGCCTAGAAGTTCATTCAGCCATGGTCATGCCATTGGTGGCAAAATGAAGTCTAAAAATACACATAATCATGTAGTTTTGATGATAAAAGAAGATGAGTTATAAAAATCATATTTTTTACAGCACTTATTGGGTTCTCGATGTGATAGACCATTGCAGTAATGGCTCACAATTTGCCCACATCTCCTTCTATCCGTTCCCTGGAATGTTCCCCTCCTGCACCACATCTAACTTTGGCCATATGATTTGCTTTCACCAATGGGAGGGACAATTTGATGCAGGGAGAGGTTCAAAAGTGTTTGCCCATTGGGGAGTGCCATAACTCCTGGTTACCTTGGGATCAACTGAACCATATGAACTGGCCTAGGCTAGCCTGCTGAGGACATGTGCTCCTATCATGGTATCACTGTGGCCAATAAGCCAGCACTGACAGCCAGAACAAGCATTCAGACATATAAGTGAGGCCATGCTAAAGCAAGCAGCCCATAGTCTACCCATCAGCTAACTGCATCTGCATAGGTAAACCCAGAGGAGACCAGCAGATTGTTGATTCACAGAATTGTGAGGTTTGCTATGTAGTGAAAGTTAACTGAAGCATCCAGGTATCATACTAGGCAATTCCTATACAAGATTTCACTTAATCTTGTCAACACTCATGTTTTAGGTACCACTATTATCCCTATTTTTATGTAGGAAAATCATGATCTCAGAGAAGATAAGGTAACTGGCTAGGATCACATAGCAAGTGACAGGCAAACACCATCTTAGGTGGTCTGTCTCTGGAGGGCGAAAGCACAGCCACACAGGTGTTCTTTGTGACCTGGGAGGTATTCTGTGGCACAAGATGTCATTCCTGGAATGTCCCAAGGGAAAAGTCCCTAGGGGAAGCTCGGCTCTGACACCCAATCACCCTAAGGGATCCTGGACATGTCTGCAAAACATGCTATAAATCCTTGGCTTTCAGGGACTTATGCTATGGTTCTTTATATGCAGCCCAGTCCGTGAAGCTTTGAGAGTATTTTTCCCCCGTTACAAATATAGTTGCAGCTGAGTAAAAAAACTGACAGCAGGCTCTGGAGCTTGGAGAAAGGAGGTATGTGTCATCGGAGAAAGTGTTCAGGATGGAGATGTGAGTCAGCATGTATCCCATGCCTTTTACTGACTTTGGATCTGCAAATGCTGTTTCCAGTTGATCACTTCTGGTAAGCCAAGGAATTCCTGACAGTTCTTGAGGTCCTTGGAGTAGATATGGTAAGTATTGGTGTAGTGATCAAGGTCATCTTTCATCTCCTGTTACCATTGAGAAAAGGGGAATAAAACACATTTCTTATATTTCATGATTATAATACTTGCTTCTAAATTCCACTACACTGTGATATTTTTAAGTACCAAAATATTGGTATTTGTATTAATGCATTACAGTTTTTGCTGAGTCCTTCAAATCACGAGATCAAGATGAGAGATTCAGGTATTCAAATTATGATAGAAAATTACACAAAAATACAATTCTTTACCCATTTCAACTCAAATAAAGACACAACTATTTAGAAAGCGTTCTTCAATACGTTCATTCTCCTCAACAGGAAGAAGAGAAAAGCAATTGACAAGGAAAAGCTTCTACTATAAGAATAAATTTTACTGCATTTGAAATACTTGTGGAATACACAAACTATGAAGAGGGCTGTATTAAATTTGGTTATGGATAACTCTGGATTGAAATCTCCATCTATACTTCATGAAGCCAAAGAGGATGAAAACCAACTAGAAATGCTTTCTTAAAATAATACAATAGCTGAACAAATTGTAGTCACAGAAAAACAAAGAAACCACTTATTTAGAAAGATCACCTCAAATTATTAAATAAGAGATTAGATTTTTTGAAAGAAGAGGGTACAGGAAAATATTACCACAATGAGTATAGAATTAGAAACCTTTTTTAAACAATAAGAATATGTTGCACAAAAATATACTCACAAGTCAGCAATGATACCACGAACATATTTTGTTCTTTAGGATAACATTTATGATAAAAGATCAAACAACTTTATTTCAGTTCAGTTTTTATTATTAATATACATCTCTTTATTTTTATATTGTTTGATTTAGTGGTTTTTAAATAACTTAATTTGTATGATAGGTATATTTATATTTTTATAATTTATTTTTTAACATTTTTTTTGATTTATAATCATTTTACAATGTGTCAAATTCCAGTGTAGAGCACAATTTTTCAGTTCTACATGAACATATATATATTCATTGTCACATTTTTTTCTCTGTGAGCTACCATAAGATCTTGTATATATCTCCCTGTGCTATACAGTATAATCTTGTTTAGCTATTCTACAATTCTGAAATCCCAGTCTATCTTTTCCCACCCCCTGCCCCCTTGGCAACCACAAGTTTGTATTTTATGTCTGTGAGTCTGTTTCTGTTTTGTATTTATGCTTTGTTTGTTTGTTTGTTTGTTTGTTTTTAGATTCCATGTATGAGCGATCTCATATGGTATTTTTCTTTCTCTTTCTGGCTTACTTCACTTAGAATGACATTCTCCAGGAGCATCCATGTTGCTGCAAATAGTGTTATGTTGTCAGTTTTTATGGCTGAGTATTATTCCATTGTATAAATATATCACAATTTATAATTTTACTGGATATTTTAAAATAAGTTTAGGATTTTTTGTCTTTTAAAGATATTAACTATTTAGTTTCACTAATTTTTAAGTGTTTCCCCAAAATGCATACGGAAGTTCTAGTATTATAAATTTGCTTTTTATAATCACCCTAACTCACCAACCTATTTTATATCTTCCTATCTTTACCTTTCCTACTTTCTCTGGTTAGAATGTCCTCCTTTCCTTGTCAGCCTAACAAAGATACATTTATCTACAAAATCCAGTTCCAGTGAAACATCGACTAAGAAGTATCTCTAACCTGTGCCTGTACCCTCCATCTCCAACCTCCATAGTTTACTCAGCATTCATCTGTGCTGTCTCTGTATGTGGCACATCTTCTGTTCTTGTATACTTTACACTAAGTTGTAATTTATTTACTCATCTATATTCTCCACCAGGCTATGAGGTTCTTTAGGACAGGGACTTGTCCACCATCACTACAATTTATTTCTGTATCCCTAGGGTCTACCACATTGCCAGATGCATGGTAGGCACATAGCAAATATTAACATAGATGCACATTCACGCTACACATTCATTCATCTGGTACCTTACCTGTTCCTGAGGGCGGATAACCACTGTATTAAAATCAGGCCACTTGTCCACCAGGGCCTTTAGGTTGAACGGGTTTCCCTGGTTCATGTGGCAGACGGTCCCATAAACCTGCAGTGTCCCAAGAAGGTGAGAAGGTCGCCTTATTAGGAAGGGATGACAATGGGCATTGTTTGATCAAGATAAGGTTTATTTCTATGAAATCAAAAAATATTACAGTGGGAAAGGGCCAAATAAGGCGTCTCACTCAAGCTTTTTCTTCCCATTTAAGACAAATTATAGATGCATATAGTAAAATATTTGGACAAATAAAACTAATGATCTTAGGAACACCACCCTTTATTGTAGGGTTTAATATTATCTTTTCCCAGACACTCTTCTATTCATATACATAGAGACACACAATTTTACAAGGTGTTTTTCCCCACTGAATACACCGTGGGTGTATTTCTATGTTCATAAACACAAAATTTTTCAATTATGTTCTAGTGGCTGCACTGGATTCCATTATATGGATGGATCACAGTTCATTTATTCGTTTGCCTATTGATGGTCATTTCAGTTGTTTCCAACTTTTCACTTTAACAAAGAATTCCTCATGGGGTATGCTTGTACAGAAATCATTGCATGGGCACCTGATATTTTCTTAGATTATCCAGAAGGGTAATATCTGGTTCAAAGGTTAAGGACATGTTTAAAACTCTTTAACATATATGTCCACATTACCCTCTGGAAAGTTTAAATGAACTCCCACCAATAAGCAGAGGCTACAGCCTAGCGCTCAAGAGAATCAGCTGTGGAGTCCCATAGCCTCCATCCAGTCCTGCATCTGCAACCCCACCATGTTGCACAGGATGTTGAGAAAGAGAGAGGAGTGGGGAGACAATGAATGAGATCTCTTATGGACAAAGTGTCCTAGTGGTTTGGGGGCTGGATGGAGATCAGCATGAGCCTCATGACAATTGTGAACATGAAGCCTCTGCAGATACCAGCATAGAAACATGCCAGAGATCAGAGGTCAAATATATATATATATACACACACACACAAACACACACACCCACATGCCAGTGACCAGAGGTCAAGTGTATATATATGGTTTCTACCATGGGTAGATAGTGACCAAACACTGTACCAACTTCCTTCCCTCCAACCACCCTCCACCCCACATGAACTCTTGATGTTAAATCATAGAGAAAGAGAAGAGAAAAAAGATTTAAGTTGACTGAGCTTATCCAAATGTCTCCTGTTTTCAGCCATGAATGGAGGATTAATACAGAAATTCAGTACTGTTTGGCAAAATGTAGACATTTTCTTTTTACACATTTGCATTTGGGGGTCTGTAAAATTGTGTTGTGCTAATATACTATCCATCGCAAGATCTGACAATATGTGGAACTGTTATTTTTTCTTATTCCTCTGGTCTAATTAGTTAAAACTTGTCTTTTTTCCTGCTGAACTCAGAACATAATGAGCCAGGCAGCTACTCTAAATTGACTCAAGTGGAGTTGACACATGCAATAAAATGCATTTAACACCTAACACTTAGCAGACTGGATGGACATTGTCTCAAGTGAGACTCAGGCAAGCATTGAGTTCTGGGTTATACCTCCACTAGAAGAAGCTGGCAGACAGTTATTTCAGGTTTCAACTAGGGTAAAATGTATGTTTTTAATATATTACCAATGCTATCTCTTCATGAAAGTTGAGGAGTCAAGAGGGCCCCTTTATCTTATGACAGAGATGCTCCAAGTAAGGACACTTGGGAACCGCCAAGAGTTTTCTCAAAACGATTGAGGCCCACTCAAAATGAGGAGTAAAGAGAAATCCGAATCACAAAATTCTACACTCTAGAGCGTGGAAGAAAGACTTTTAGCAGGAAGAACTTTCAAAATAGCTACTCACCATAAAAATATCTTAGGCAAGTGTTATAAAGTGTGTAACTTGTGTAATCTCTAAGAAAAACTGACTGTCTCTCTGAGAGATTGCCTGAATCTTAAGGATTATTAAGCAAAAGCAGTTAGATATTAGGTAACAGGGATGAATGTTAGTGGGATGTACCAAAGAAGGTGGGTGACTTTAGTTTCAGATCAGTTCATTTGAAGTCTCTTTTTTGGGGGGCAGTAAATAAAGAATTAAGGTGAGTTGTTTCATTGTGTATTTCTAATCAATGAAAATGAAGCCATATGATCTACAACGCTAATGTTTTCTCTTTTATACTGAAAAAAGGGAGTAACAAATCCATAGGGAGGTGAGGAGGTGAATGCATTTATCTTATCTAAAATGTATGTATCTGATAGGAGTATCTTTCTTATAAAACAGTGGATATTTAGTTTCTATTTCTACACAAAAAAAAGTTGTAGAGGAAAACATTGTCCTCCAAATACACAGACACACACAAAGAGACATAGACACACACGGCTGTGCTTAAATTCCACTGGAATAGATCCCATCCCTTTGGTTGATAAAGAAAAACTCAAGTGAGGACCTCAGCCTATCATTAGAGTTTCTCTTGAACGGTTCTGGATGTAGGCATTTATGTGTATGTTTTATTTAACCCTGAGATTTCCAATCAACTGTACTAGGTTAACAGAGATACTGGGAATCAGCCACAAAATGGCCTGATATGCAACAAGTTCAGAGCAATTGGAAAATTTAAGTCAAATAGAAATTGACTTATTAATTTTAAAGAAGGTTCATGATGGTTAACCTCCCACCTGACAAGTGTTCCTTTAGGGAGAACAAATTAAAAATTAACATGTAGTGTCTCAGCTAACTTTGTAGAAGGAAAGTGCTATTATAGAATGTCTCCCGGAAGGGAGCAAGGGAATACTTTTTGAATCAGCTTGGAGCAAAAGGCAGTGTGAGGTCTCAGGCATTCTTATGTTTATACCGTAGCATTGCAAGTCACTACTTGTGGAGAATCACTTAACTGAACCTCCATCTTCTCATCAGTGACACGGACATAACAGCAAATACCTTGTAGAGAGGTTATGCAAATTCAATGAAAGAAAACAAGCAATAGTGCCTGGCACAGAATAGGTGCTCAGCAAATATTAGTCTCTCTTCCTCCTCATTCACATGAGGTTTCTATTCCTTACTCTCCTCAGAATTTTCCATTGTCACCTTTAAGGATGTAGGAAGGCTGTTCCTCAAGGATCTCTCCAGCATCTGCAGCATCTGGGCACCTTGCAATGGGAACATCGTGGAAGACACTTCAGTAGCCTAGAGAAACAATCAAGAAACAGCCAGGAATGAGAAGAGCTGGAGGAAATTTAGAAACAAGAATATCAAGTTCTGTGCCATTTGCTGGAGACCTCTTCAATGTCTCATTATTGGTGTCCTCTTCACTAAAGTCCTCACCAATTCCAAAGAAGAATGAGACTGTTAGAAACTGCAGGACCCATTTCTGAATTTCTATCACTAATTCTTCTGACTCTACCAGTAATAAGCTGTGTGACCTTGGGAAAGTTACCTAGCCTCTCTGTGCTTTGGTTTTCTCAAAGTAGATGGCATAATAGCACTATCTAACTCATAGAATTCTTGTGACGATTAGATGAGCTAATACATCAAAAGAGTAAATAAGTGCCTATAAAAGTATCTGTCATATATAAACACCTATTTTATTACTACTCCCATTCCTCTTCCTCTCCTTCCTCTTCCTTCCCATTCCTCCTTCTTCCCACTTGATTTAAAGTGCATTATATTGCCTGATATTTTGATGCAGACTTTCTAATATAGGGCACTTTGACATGGTTTAAAATATTAACAATTAATCTTATTGTTTGTTTGTTTAATTGACAAGTCATATTTCAAGCTGGTACTCTCACCTTAGCACTGAGCCTCCCCCTATTTTTGAGTCTTACGCCATCTCTAAGCCTCACTCTTGGATCTGTGATACCTGTTGCACAATTACCAGGCAGCATAAACATAGTATTTTTACATATTTGACTCACTGCATCAAATTGGGATTACTAAAATATCCCGTAAAATCCTATCTACATGAAAAAGGAAGAAAAAAGGTTGCGTCACAGTGTCTTGGTTTGGAACTTTGATCTTGGGAGGAGCAGAAAGTTACTTTTTCAAGACAACACTGAAGAGGTTTTCTGAGAAGATACGTATTAAAACAGGCCACGCACGAGATGACACACTCCAAGGGAGAACTGGGTAGGTAAATTTGTGATTTTAGAACAGCAAGGTACTTTCCTTTCTGGCCAAAGATAGAGTCACAGGGTCTGGATTATTAACCTTCCCACCTGAAACAATGACAAAATTAAACAAAGTAAATAAAACAACAGTTTTCATATGTTGGACATCAGGCAACATAGTAATATGATCCCTAAGAAAAGAGAAACAGAAAATGTGAGCCTTGGCATTGAATCAACTTATTTGAAGGCTGCAGTTCAGAGAAATGAAACTGATCAGAGCACAGGGTCTCACTGACTTGTGCCTGCAGAGACTAGAGTCTGGGGAGGCCAGAGTGGAGAATCAGAGACAGAGAGAGAGAGAAAGCCAGCTGGAGAATTCTTGGGGAAGAGCAATCTCCTAGACTCTTTGGCTCAGTGCTGATCTGTGTAAGGGGAAACTACCTTAGATTTTAGCCTAGGGAAAGAATCACTGGGAAGGCATAGGTGGGAAATCCTCTACAGCTCACACAAGGCTAGGAAGAATTTGTGTTCTCATCGACTGTAATGGAAGGATCTCATAACATAAGCGCATTGGATAAGATCCTCAGGCTTAGCAGGGGGTTAAATTCAGCCTTGTCGCTTCTAAATTCACCCTAACACTGGTTAAAAGCAAGTCTTGAAATGATCCAACTGATTCCAATAATTTAACTGTGCACCAGAACAAAAGACAGTACTAAAAATAAGTACAACAAAGTCTAATTTGAATTGTCTACCATTCAATAAAATGCTAAGCATATAAAGAAAGAGGAAAATATAAAAACACACATCAGTAAAATTAGACCCAGGGGAGACACTTGCAAAGCCATATTGAAAAATATATTTATGATCGCAATACTGCTATCCCCTCTAATGTAATAATCCCTGCAAATGAGGGTTCTCTTTACCTAAAAAAAATTAAAGTAGGTAAATGCAGAGATGTCGGAATCTACAGACAAGAATGCTGAATAGTTGCAATCTTGCTCCTCATTTTTAAGAAGATAAAGGAACACATGATCGTGACTGGGAGAAAAATGGAAGATATAAAGATGAATATGGAGTTTATAGAAATGAAAACAATATAGTATCTTAAATGAAAACTACCCTGGATATGATTAACTATAGAAAAGACACTGCAAAAGAAAAGGAAAGTGAAAGACATAACAATTAAAACTCTCCATAATGATGCATGGAAGGGAAAAAAAGAATTAGAAGACTCATTATTGCTAATATGTCACAATTTTTCCCCCAAGTTGATCTATAGGTTCAAACTAGTCATAAAAAACCCAAGTTTCACTTGTAGAACATCACAAGCTGATTCTAAAATGTATGTGATTTCAAAGCTTGCTAGCAAGATCGAGTAATCATGGCAGGATGGTCTTGGCATAAGGACAGACAAATAGATAAATGAAATAGAGTAGAGAGCTGAGAAATATATGGACATTTGTGGTCAATTGATTTTCTACAAAGAGGTTTCAACAATTACATGGAGATAGGACAGGCTTTTCAAACAATGGTGCTGATTTTTAAATTTTTAAATAGTCAAGAAGACTCCCTGATGGACTCAAGTGGTTGTAAAGTTCTGAATGTAGATGTTCGAAGAAAGTCATGGTCTTCTATACTCATTTGCTTCCGCTACTTTCTGCTCCCTGGGTGGTTTATCTAAAATAGCTCCCCATTCCATTTTGGGAGTGTTTTATGAATTTGAGAAAGAAAGAAAAAAAAAAGGCAGCCCTAAAACGTAACACTTTCAGAAAACAGCAACATGAGGCAAGGTCATTCTGTGTATGTAATGAAGTGAGACAAAAACAAGCCCATTTCACAATGATGTTCAAGAACACGGATAAAAGCAAGAGGCCAGTCTCATCTGCCGATACGGCCAAATACTCCTCGCCCCAGTCAACAAGTACCTGCTACTTCTTTACCTCTGCTTTTTGCCTTCTGCCTCATGGATTACAGTTTAACAGAATTGCAACACTGCCTGGCAGTACCCAAGCGAGAGCAAACCCATGCTTCCTGGAACCCTCCCCCACATCACTTACCTGTTCAGTCCCTACTGATGTATTCTCACCGAGATTTGCCTCGTTTCCCCACAGGGTGCTGGCTGTCTCGTTGCAACAGACAGTAAGCCTGATTTTGTTGGGCACTAGAGTGTTCCACGTGGTTTTTGACTGGAAGTTATTGGCAAAATGAATTGCTAAGCTCTGGGGCATCCGCACCAATTGGCTAGTTCTGTGTTTATTTGACTTCCCAGAGCCTCTTCTTTCCAGCTTAACTCCTCAGGACTACTGGTTCTTCAGGACAGTTGCAAAAGGTTTGGATTTGCAGAAATGGAACAAATATTAGTTTGTTTCTAGGGAAAAACACATATCTAGGTTACAAGTATTTCACTATATTTTTGGCTCCTGCAGCTTTAATGTGTTAGGTAATGTGTGACTGGGGAATGTTCCAGATTTTCCCATGTGTGTGTCCCCTGTCTCCTTCCTAGATCCTTGCTAATCATTTGAAGAGAACAACAGATGCGTAATTTCCCTTTGCATCTCCTTCACGATATGAGAAGAGGAGAGACTTAGCCAGACCCTGAAGGCTCTGGTTTACATTGACCATAGCTGCTGACCTCCTTAAGATTCACTTAGGGAGTGTAGATGGGATCTTCTTTACCATTTGGCTCTGGTCTATCTTCCTAGACTCTTCTGTGGTTACTCCTCATCAACTAAGACTACTGGACATTTCTTCAATGCTGTGTCTTCTTTAGCACCTCTATCCTTTCTGCATTTTGTTCCGTTTGGAATTCCCTGATCCTACTATTCTGAATTCACCTTCCATTCATTCTTCAAAGTCTAGCTTAAGGGCTTGTCATCCCTAGTGACCTCCTCTCTTGTTTCTTACTCCCTTTTCTCTGCTCTCATAAGTGTTTATGCACATCTGCATTACAGAACTTGTTACATTCTGCTAGAGTCTACTTTTCTAGATGGTGAACTCCTCTGGGGCAGAAAACGCATCTTATTTATTGCCGTATCCACTGTATTTATCACAGTGTCTGGAACATAGTATGCCTTCAATAAATGTGTTGTGAATGAGGTAATGAACAAAAATGCTTGTGTTCACCTCTCTGTCTAGTCACGGTCAGGGACACAGATTGATTGATTGATCGATGAATCCAATCGATGTATATGCACTGAGTGCATAAATAAATATATGCTGGATGTGGGAAATGTTTTCTGCTACTTTGTACTAGGTTATGTCTTGAATAAAAGTCCAGACCAAGGTAGAGGCACCCTTGTCTTGTCTTGGAGGGTCTTAAAACTGTAAAAAGTATAGCATTCCTGAAGGCCAATCTTATCTTTTATCTAGAGGTGACTCTCAAGCAAGATACATGAGTATAAGATGCAATGTAGAGATGGATGTCAAATCTGCGGGGTGTGATATTACTGTATTTCCTGAAAAACATAGATTTGGAACCACCCTTCACGGACGCACACACAAGCCAAGAAACAAGAATGGTGCCTCATAAATAAGACAGACTGAAAGCAACTGAGAGTGAGCTTCTCCAGGAAACTGGATACACCCAGTTGAGCTGGCACAACTGGGCAACATGCAGGAGTGAAATTCAGGACCTTTGACTTAGTCATTCCCAGAGGGAGAAATTCGCCCAAAGAAAGCAATTCAAAATTGATAAAGCCACACAAATGTAAGCAAGGACTGAACAAAATCTCAATGCCCAGCAATAGGGAAAGAAATAAAAAAATCTGATGCAACTCCATCACGACATAAATGTAATTCCTATACATGGGACACATGGGAAAGTGTGAAAATAAAATGAGATAGCGTAGGACATAAAACAGTTCATATACCACATACATAAGCATAAATTTTAAAAAGAACACAGGCAAATAAAAACCTGGATTGTGGTAAGAGCAGTACAGGTGAAATCTTTAAAGTAAATTTGTTTATTATACGATTTAAATAAACAAAGAATCTGGCCTGTATGCTTGTCCTTAATCATCTACTCTTTTCCTTGCTGACGTTAAGTACAACAATCTTCTTGTCAGGCAAAACACCACCTACCTTAAAATATAACCAGAAGTACTACATATGGTAATGTTTGCAGTGTCTTCACATATTAAGTGCTCCATTCACCTACCCACTTCCAGAAAGTGTCCAAATCTTTCCTCATTCATTTATTAGTTCAGATCAGAAACCTGCAAGAATTTTTCATAGTACCTAACTAGTTGCCTCTTACAGACTAGGTGCCAAATACATGGCTTTTTTTTTCAGTTGAAGTTATTCCTTTTCCTGAGTTATATTTGTCAGCATCTCCTGAGCAGAACACAATATGAGCATTTTGATTTGTCTCCCGTAAGTGGAGAGGATGTCACGAGGCAATATGAGCTCTTTTTTCTTTTCTTTTAGCGTGAATTCTCACCTGGAAAGCTGTCTTCACACCAAGCTCTGCAGGAACGAATGAAGAAAAGCAATGTCTGTATCATGAAATTTCCCTCTAATGCAGTCGGTTCAACAGTGTCTGGTAGAGTACATTGCATTTAGGAATGTTTTCTTCAGATTTGGCCAAGCTGAGGATTGTCATGTGGACCTTTGCACTAGGAAAAAAAAAAAGTGGGGTATCAGCTCTCTACAATCCAGCCCTTCCTCCCAGGATCTCATGTTGACGGGACTGGCTCTGCCAGGCTGGGAGGCTGCCAAGGTGCCATCTGAGCTTCTCTTTGCAAAACACCAGGCTGTTCTTTGCCTCCCAGGCTCTGCCATTACTCTGAAAACCAAGCAGTATGAAACTAACAGGCCAGATACTGGAAAGAGTGTCACTCTGTATAGGCAATACCTTCTTCCCTCCCCTTCCCATTCTCAAGTATGTGCAATAAGACTAAGGTAATGGGAAAGATATGGTTCAAGTCTGATTTACAGAATCTGATCTCTCTTCTTACACATACGCAGAACGGAAAATTATTTGCATGGAGTGACTCAAGCTGTTAGGATCCTGCTTTTTTTTTTTCAGGATAAGCTGTGTCCTCTCCCTGTCCGTTCTGAGGCTACAGTTAAACATCCCCACAGTGACTCAGCATGGGCACTTTTTAGTCTCACATTTATAGAGAAGGAAACCGAAACTCAATGTGGCTGAATTAGATAGAATTCAGACATAGATAATTTCACTCTCAAATGTCCAGTACCCCACATTAACACTTACTCTATACCATCCTCAGAAAAGAAAAGAGGGTTCATAGAAACGATAGTCTGAGTCCCAACTCCACTGTGTGAAACAACCGGGGTGGGATGTTTGACACTACCTGGGTCCTTGTCCTCACCACTCGTGTCCCCATCAACCAGGTGAGTGGATAGTTTCTTTGTGGACGGAAGGAGTCACCGTGATCAGAGGAGCAGAGACAGGGCTGACTGGTGTCTAGAGAGAAAGCTGAAAAAGCGTGTGTGATTCTTCAGTCCACGGAGCAGCCCAGCACAAGTTTATACATATTTATCTCCCACTAGGAGTCTTGTCCCTCCTGGAATATTAATCCTCAATCTTGTCTCCTGGAGTTGAAGTCATTATAATCACTCATTACTCTTTCTCCAAGGCTAAAGACCATTGAAACTGTTCTGTCACTATCAGCGGAGTTGACCTCTTGGTCCCAGTAGCGTCCATATCTCACAAAGACTGTCTACAACACAAGAGAGGGGTCCTCCTGGGCCCCACCCAAAACCAGATTCCTGGTCCTCTGTCTCCTTCAGTCCTTACACTCACTCAGTCAGAAAGTTCAAGGGTGTCTACCACCCTTTACCTTAAACTAGTCTCTTAATCTTTCTGGATTGTTTCCGTAGCTGGAATGGGTGTTGTCATGCCGTGTAACCAAGCATTTTCTCTGCTCTTCCGTTACCAA